AGTGCTGTTGGTATAACTTGTTATAAGTCATAGATGGTTCCATATAATCATCTTTATATATATAGAAAGGCACTTAATAAAGGGCATTTGACAAAATTCAACCTCTATTTGAGATTTAAAAAACTTTCAGTTAGAAAGGAATAGGGGATACTTATGTAAACTTTGTGCTTAATATTGAAATATTAAAACCCTAGAAATAATCCCATTAAAGAATAAGACAGGGATGCCTATTATCATGCCCATGTTATTTAGTATTATTTATAAGTACTATCTGATGAAATTAGTTAAGAGAAATACAGGAGAGGCATATTATTGAAAAGAGAGACAAGATAAGCAGTATTTTTACCTGGAAATCAAGAAAATCAAATGAAAATTATTAGAAAGAAAGACTTTAATCAGGTGGCTAGTTACAACAAAGAGCTTGGAAGTTATCATTCTGTTCTAATAACAAATAAAAAGCTAAAACATGTTGAAAAATTAACAACCTTTCTTAGATCTGCCACTGTCACAGGGCAAATAGCTGATTGAGAGAGACATGCAGATACATAGAATCACCACTTACAGGAGCGAAACCCACCAGTGGAGACCTTTGCAGGAACAAGTAGCAGGGTAGGAAGACTTTAAATGGTAATTGATGAATTGCTGTAGTCTCAGTGTGGAAAAGTCTGAGAGTTAAAAACTCCAGGGGTCCCAGTCTCACAAAAGTAGGAGGAATGTAAAACTACTTTTGTGAGTTTTACGATCAGGAGCTCTACGAAATTCTCACAATGAAGATTGACAAAAACCTGCTTCCTGCAGGGAGAGAGGAAAAAGCAGACATTCTGAAATATACCCAGAGCATTCTGTTCTTAACATGGCAGAAGAAACTATTTTACCAGAGTGTAACGTAACCTACTGGGATTTTGTCAGAGCCTAACTGACCTGAAGGAAGGGAAATGTCAAACTGCAGCCCTCTCTAGTTTTCTACATGGGGAAAGGGAAATACAAACTCGAGCATCCACTAGCCATCCTGTCTTACCTAAGGGGGCTGGGTAGAAAATGGAGAAGCATTCGTGAATGTCACAGCCCAGGGAACAGGCTCACCAAAAGATAGGAGCATGGGGCTGAACCACAGGGCCATAGAATGTTTCCTTTGTTTCCCTTTCTCCCACCCCCACCCTTGCCACCACATCACTGAAGTCCTGTTTACCTCAGTTCTTTTTACCTAGTACATCATGTCTGACTTCCAACAAAAAATTACAAGGCACACTAAAAGGCAAAATTTTGTTTGAATTCATAGGTTTCTTTTGCAAAAATACTTATAAAACATGAGGGGAGGAAAGGTTCTATTTATAATTACAATTAAAACTATAAAACATCTAGGAATAAAATTAAGAAATATGCAGAAATTATATAAAGAAACTTTAAAACTCTGCTGAGCAACGTAAATGAATACTTAAATAAATGGAAAGACATACCTTATTTTTAAGCAGAAAAAAATCAATATTGTTCAAATTTTAATCCTTGCTTATTCCGTAAATAATATGGTTAAAATCTGACAAGATGAATCTCAAGCTTGTAATGACAAAAGTCTGGAAATAACATAAATGCCTTCAGTGGCTGGGGTGGGGGAGATGGTTATTTAAGTTATTTTTATGGTTGCAACTGAATACGTGGCCTGAAAGAAGTGGATTTGCATGTGTGGATATGAAAGATGTTCAAGATAGGTTAAAAATCCAGTGATAGAACAGTGTGAATAATAACTTCCCACCTGTTGGGGATAGTGGGTGGAGGGATAGAAGAGGCTATGAGTACATAAACAGGTGATTAGTTAGTGGCAGGAGGAATAGAAACAAGGAGACAGGTTTGGAGGCTGAATATTTCCAAGTAAAAGTTAATGAAGGGCATATATTAGGGTAATGGCATAATGTCTGGTAAAGTACAGATTTGATTTATATATATATACACACACACACACATATCAACATAATGTATATGAAGCTGCCTGAATGTTATCACCTTGGAAAAGTTGCTTAACTTCTGTAAGAGTCAATTACCCCATTTATAAATGGGTTTAAGAATACTATTTATCTTTCAGGAGTGTTGGGAGCACTAAATGAATAATGATCGTCTAAAACCAGTGCGTTAACTGGGCCAATTCATGATGATATTTTCTTTGGTGTGAGGCAAAATGAAAGTAATTGAGATAATATTGTATTTACTTATCTTCTATTTTATTTGTTTTTGGTAGATAATCTATTATGAACCATTCTTTAATATAAAGAAATGTCCTTTAATATAAGATTTTATCCTAACTTTTTGGTTTTAAAAATCTTATTTTTTTAATGAAATGATGTTGTTATAGATGGTAGTTGTTATTTAAATGTTCTCAATACTAATAATAAAAAAAAATCTGCAGCCCTGTGTCAATCCCCTACAGTTCTATTTGCATTTTGACTGGTGTTGAAGTTCAAAAATTTGAGGACCTCTGAAGTATACCTCAGAAGAAGACATCAGAAAGTATAGGGCTAGTGTGATAAGCAATGGGCATGAAAAAGTGGGGTTGTGTTAGGGGTATGGGAGTGGAGATGAAAGAGACATGATAGGAGTTGTAAGTAAATCGAATATGGGAATTGAGGAAGCAGTAAAATATGACTACACTGATGTATATAATAATGTGTTATTCTTTAGATATACAAAATTTCTTGTAGAGGTTTTTACAGAAAAGAGAAGGAACTTTTATTAATATTTACCGGATTTATTTATGCAAGAACATTTATTGAATTGATGGTATCTTGTCAAGAACCATTACATACTTGACATATTATCTATGTGTTTCAGGAACAGCTTGTATTTTTTTTTTTTTTTTTTTGAGACAGAGTCTCACTCTGTTGTCCACGCTACAGTGCTGTGGCATCAGCCTAGCTCATGGCAACCTCAAATTCCTGGGGTCAAGCAACCCTCCTGAGTAGCTGAGACTACAGGCATGTGCCACCATGCCCAGCTAATTTTTGTTTTCTATGTATGTTTTTTTTTAGTTGGTCAATGGATTTCTTTCTATTTTTAGTAGAGATAGGGTCTCGCTCTTGTTCAGGGTGGTTTCGAACTCCTGACCTTGAGCAGTCCGCTCACATCAGCCTCCCAGAGGGCTAGGATTACAGGTGTGAGCCACCACACCCTGCCCACAGCTTGTATTTTTTAAAAAATACTAGACTTTATTCTTTTAGAGCTATTTTAGGTTTACAGAAAAATTTACTGGAAAGTACAGAGAATTTCTACGTTACTGCCTCTGACCCCAGTTTCCCCTATTATTTGCATCTTGATTAGTGTGGTTCATTTGTTACAATTGATGAACCAATATTATACATTATCATGACTGAAGTCCATAGTTTGCATTAGGGCTGATGCTTTGTGGTATACTATAGGTTTTAATAAAGTATAACAGCATGTATTCATTGTTACTGTATCACTTAGAATAGTTTCAGTGCCCTAAAAATCCCCTTTGCCCCACTTACTTGTCCTTCTCTCCCTCTATCTGAACAGCTGGCAGTCGCAGATCTTTTTTCTGTCTCCATACTTTTACTTTTTCCAGAATGTCGTGTAGTTGGAATCATCCAGTATAAATAGCCTTTTCAGACTAGCTTCTTTTACCTAGCAATATGGTTTTAAGTTTCCTTCATATCTTTTCATGGCTTGATAGCTCATTTCTTTTTATCACTGAATACTATTCCTTTGTATGGATGTACCATGGCTTGTTTATCCATTCACCTACTGAAGAACATTTTTGTTGCTTCCAAATGTTGACAATTGTGAACAGCTTGTATTTTAAGATTAAAATTTGAAAGTTTTTCTTGATACTAGGTGTATTAGTTTCTTAGGGTTGCTGTAACAGAGTGCCACAAGCTGGATGTCTTAAAACAACAAAATTATCTCTCACAGGTATAGATGCTAGAAATCTGAAATCAAGGTGTTGGCAGGGTTGGGTCCTGCCAACCAAGAAGGCTTTGAGGGAGAATCTGTTCCATACCTCTTTCCTAGCTGCTGGTGAAGGCCAGCCATCTTTGGTGTTCCTTGGATTGTAGATGCATCAGTTCAATCTCTGCTTCCATTTTAACATTGCATTTCCCCTGTGTCTTGACATGGCCGTCTCCTTGTAAGGACACCACTTATACTGAGTTAGGGGCCCACCCTGCTCCAGTGTGACTTCATCTTAACTAATTCTATCTTCAACAACCCTATTTCCAAATAAGGTCACATTCTGAGGTACTGGCAGTTAGGACTTCAACAACTTCTTTATTAGAGGGCACAACTCAGCCCATGGCAAGAAATGATGCTTTCCACACAGTTCTTCTTTAGATATTCATCCTTCCTTCTTGTTGTTGAATCATCGATGGTGATGTAATCTTGTCCAGTTTTTGGTAATTGTGGTTTCATCTGAAAACCAAATTGTTCTTGACTGTGTCATAAAAAGAAAGGGCTTCCCTGTGTTCGAATTTGGATGTACTTTTAAATGTGTAACCAATAAGATCTATCCCACATGCCAGTCTGTGGATCTACCCTGTTAGGATTTTTGTGTGTGTGGTTCATTTGCCCACTTTGTGGTTTGTTAGTCAAGTTGTATAAAACGTAAAATAAAATATAATTGATGTAAATAATTTTCTTTAGAATTATCCAGTGAAAAGTAAGTTTATTATTTTTTTCTTTTGGATTTATATAAAGAAACTGGGGAGGATAGTTTATAACTTTTATAGACTCATTTTTTCCTTTCAGATAATTATTATTTAGTGTTTTGCAGATTTCAGAAAAATTCTTTCCAGTTTTTCTACCATCTGATCATTCCTTGTGAAAATTGACTCATAAACTTGCCAACTTCCAGGTCAAGGCTTCTGAATTTCCTTTATAGTAATTTCCTAATTGTGCCTGGGAAGGGGGAGTGGAGAGAAAGGGAGGGAGAGAGAGGAAGAGGGAGGTGGGAGGGGGGGAAGAGGGAGGTTAAAGTCACATGGAAAATTACTGAGCAGTTTGAAAATAATTTGTTGAAGAGAGCATGGAAGAAAATCAGGGTTGGGAGAGAGCAAAACCAACCTGATTATATATTAGGAATTAAAAATAGAATTATAAATTTGAATCTTGTGGGTTTTTTCTTTATAAGTAAGATTTTAATAAGATTAATGACTCTTCTTGATAGTAAGAAAGGATTAAATGTTGTATTAAATGTTGTTCTGTGTGAAAGGATTAAATGCTGTATTAAATGTTGTGTAATCAATCAGACCTATTGATACAGCCAGAGCTCAGAGGCAGACAGGGATCTAATGCATCTGATTGGAAACAGGTTGGATACTCTGTTGGTAACATTATTTTGGCCCAGTAAGAGAAAATGTTTAATGTATTCCAGGGAATTTCTCTAGCAGTGAACTTCTCCTCTCATATCTAAGGGTTGTATAACTTATTCTCTACCAAAAGTATTTCTATGTGAAAGCAGAAAAACCTAATGGATCAGTCTGGCTTTGCTTTCTTAATTCTTCAACCCCAATTATTGGAAGGTAGGCCTCTGGTGGTAAGTTGCCCCACTTGTTTTGACCTCACTTTATTTCTTCATTGAATCTGCATTTCTCTTTTCTTGCATTGCTGACATATTGAGATACAATTCCTTTCAAGTAAAATCATCAAGTATTATTTATACAGTTGGCTTCTGTTTGTTTTAAAAGCCTAGGGTCAAATTTGAGCACTTTTTCCAATGTATCATATTCCTCTTTATTTCTACTGCCACACACTAATCCAGGATTTTGCTATTTCTGTCCTAGATTATCATTTCATTTTTATCATATTCAGTTTTGTGCCCTTCTTGACTGTGCCATCTGCCTCCATCAAAGGCCTGTAGTGACTTTATTTTTTTACATGACTGGTCAAATTTAAAATTCTTAACTTCCTTTCAATATTTTGATATAAAAATTTCTGAATATACAACCAAGTTTCTGCCATTAACATTTCATTCTACTGTACTTGTTTTTATCTCACATGCTTCACCTGTGAATCCTATCCCTTTATCCATCCAGCCAGCCAGCTTACTTTTCGATGCATTTCAAAGTGTAAATTGCAGGCATCAGTACATTTCCAACTGACTACTTCAGCATGCAAATCATTAACTAGAGCTAAATATTATATATAGTTTTTCTTTCAATATAAAATTTATATCTAATGAAATGTAGAAATCTTAAGTGTATATTCTGTGAGTTTAGAAAGCATAACCCAAATCCATATTAAGAACTTGGTATCACTCCAGATAGTTTCCTCCTGCCCTTCTCAGTCCACACTCCCAGTTCACCCCCATAGCAACCACTGTGCTGAGTTTTTTTTCCTACTATGGATTAGTTTTTCTGTTATAAAATTTTATATAATTGGACTCATACAATATGGACTGTCTTGCTGAAAGCTTCTTTAGTATAATGTTTCAAAATCCTTACTCTTTCTTTGAAGCCTTTCACTAGGATACCCTAAATTTTCACTCCATTTTTATTTCTCAAGCCATCTCCTTTATTCTCTCAGGCAAACATTAAAGTTTTTTTATTTTATTAATTTTCCCAAGTTGTACCAGACTCTTAGAATATTCCTGCTGTCTCCTCAGCCTTTATAAGTATTGAAAGAAAGGGAAAAGATTTGCTGCTTTCTTTAGAATAATCAGGTGCTTACTATTCTGTAGCTAAATCTAGAATTTAGTAATTTAAGAATCAGAAAGAGAGAGAAAGATCTGTGGTTCTCTGTGTGACGTGCTGTCTCAAGTATTAATCCCTTGTGCATTTTAAAGCACAGGAACAAAGCACCATGTGAATAGGCTGTTGTGATAACAGTGAAAGCTTCTGTTCGTACTTCTGTTAAGTGAATAATAAATTCACATGCTTCTTGACTTACGATGGGGTTATCTCCAGATAAATTATTATAAATTAAATATCATAATTTGAACGATCATTAATCAGATACTGTGTTTCTTACATTTTAATGGTATTTTGCAAATCTATTTATGATACAGTTACCTTATTTCATAGTTACAAACCTATAAGGTAGATATTAATATTATGTTAATATGAATGATGATACTAAGACTCAGAGAGGTTAGTATGGTGGTAGTGAATGAAGGGGAAGTACTTAAGAATATGAAACCTGCATCTTCACCATATACCACAATTGTGTATTTTAATTTTGATTCCTCTTTTTTTAGCTAATTGCAGCTTAAGGTAATTTGTTTTTCTTCTTTCAAAAAAGGGACTTCTGGGTTATATTTTCTGAGACCTTTATATCTGAGAATGACTTCCTGTTGCCATTAAATACATTACAGAAGCATTTTCCTTCACAGCTCTGATGACATTTTGTTATTATCTTCTAGTATATGGTATTACAGATAAATCTGAAGCTAGCCTGATCTTGCTTCCTTTGAAGGTAATTTCTCTTCATTCTTTTCCTGCCTATATTTTTATAGTTTGTTTTTTAATTCTTGTAGTTCAAAAAAGTTTGCCAAGGCGCACCTAGATGTCTCTGTTCATTGATTTTGTGTAGAACATTGTAAACTAGAAAATATTTATTCTGTTCATAAGCATATTCTTCAGTTATATATTGGATTTTTGCTCTTATTGTTTTGATTTTTTTCTTTTTGAAAATAGAATCTTTTTTTTGTTATTTTTCCTAATGATTTTATCTTTGTTCTTTTCCTTCAAATTCTTACAGCACTTTTCATGTTTCCTCTTAACCTTAATGTGGTTTTCTGAATAATCGATTCAATTCTTTACTAACTCCATACAGATTTTATTTCTGCTATTACATTTTAAAATTTCTTTGTAATCATTCCTTATTTCACTGATTTTTCTTATTTCGGTGTGACTCCCCTTGTGGCTCTCTATTCCTAATTCTTAGGAAATATTGTGTATTTTCTTTGGCATATGCCAAGTACCTTATACATGCTTCTACTAATCTCTACAGGAAATTATTTTTCAGAAGACTTTTTTTTTTTTTTTTTTAAGCTTTAGGCTGATATTTACTTTGTCAATAATCTTTTTTCTAGGCCCTATTTTTTTTCTTCTGTTTGATTAAGGTTAGATTTGTTCAGAACCACTGTTTGTCAGCAACACAGGGTCTGGATTGCCCTTGTCCCTGCTCTGTTCACTTGGGTGCTTTTTGGAGTTCTTTTTCATATCTTCAGCTGTAGAGTGAGTTGTTGATAAATAACCTCTAGTGTATGCATATTGTTAAAATTTTGTCATCTAATATAGCTCTGCTGGACAAAGATGAGATCTTGCATTGCTTCTATTCATTGCCTTGCTCTTTGATATTCTGGTCAGGGAGAGTGTAAGAAAGCCTATAGTTCTCAATATGTGCTACTTGTATGAGTTTTCCGACCTCTTTTCTCATTTTATAAAACGTTTACTTATCAGGATTATACTTCCCATGTTACTGTGAGCCTTTGCCAGAACAACTCTCCTCTCTTCTATATACAACACAAATATTTTCTGGGGGTTACAAGTTCCTTCTGAATATGGAAATACAGAAGGAGAGGAGGTTATGGGGAATAGTACTGTAGCAGCCACACGGAGGTATACCTGTGCAATATAGGAACTACAGCCCAACTTTGTAAGTGACATAATCTTTATATTTCTGGGTGAGGTGCAGACTGGGGGAAGGATAAAGCATCTTCCTGTGTGATCTTTCACCTGTGCAGCATCGTTTGACTTTTTTTCAGTGTACTGTGTGCTAATTATTATTGGCATTTTTAAATCTAATTCTCTTGCTTTCATAATTAGTAGAAATTATTAGCAGATTCTGGCAATCAGTTACTATGAATTTTTATTATTACTAATAGTCAACACTTATTAAGTACATCTTATGTGACAACACTGATATAATTACTTAAAATGTGTTAGCTCATTTAATTTTTATAGCCCTATTGTATGATATCATAATTATTATCATTTTATAGATGGGGAAATTGAGGCTTAGAGAAGTTGAACACCTTACCTAAGAAGTTTTTATTTTGTCTCCCTCATCTTCATAGGTTGGTCCTCTCTCTCTACCCCTCTTCTTTCCTTCTTTCCCTTCTTTTATGACTACACAAAAGACTGGCAAGTATATAGCATTAGAAAAAGATGACCTTTAAAGTTAATTTGTTCTTTGTAGTTCTTCATTATTGGCCTTAGATGAGCATTGGACTGGGGCAATAATGTCTGTCTTTTTTGTCTAATCCTCCCTAAGCCACTTTCTTAAACTAGGGCATGACTTGATCATCAGGAAGAGTCAGATTCATTAGATTTGCACTGCCTGATACAGGGCCCACTAGACATGTGGCTATTGAGCACTTGAAATATGGCTAGTCTGAGTTGAGATGTGCTGTATAAAATACACCCTGGATACTGAAGGCTTAAGTATAAAAAAAAAAAGAATGTAATTAAAATCAATTGCCTGTTTCTACCTTTTCGAATGTGACTACTAAGTGAAAATTAAAACTTAACGTACATGGCTCATGTTATATTTGCATTGTGTATTTAAAAGTGTATAAGGTATGGTGTCTCTTCTCTAGGAGTCTGGTAGGGAAGAGGACTGAAAGGCAGTTAGAGAGGTGTGGTAAGTGTGAGATAGGAACTCTCGCAGACGAGACATCTAAACCCGTTTTAAAACCCTGTAAAAGGTGAGCTTTAAGGCAATGGTAGTACCTTGTCTTTTCTTCTCTTTTACCTTTTATTTGAGGTCTTTAAGTCTACTCTTTGGAAGAAAGGAAATAAAGATCAAAAGCTAATTGAAAAATGGTTGGAAAGTCTTTTTTTGTGGTAGTATTGGCTCATAGTATAATGAAACCTATCAAGGTTTAAAAGGCCTGAATCTGCTCACAGAGGCCACTGCTCTTTTTCCTGTCCCCAAACACTGGCTTAGACAACCAAATGTATGGTAGTGTCATTTGCTAAGTATGGAACACAAATCAGCTTTACTTCTACTAAGTTCAAGATACCTGTGGTACATCCAGATGGGCATTGACATGAGGCAATTGAATGTATGGAACCAGAGCCTGAGAAAAATCTCTGCTGGCTATATAGATTGAAGTAAGTTTAAGTCATGGGTAGATATGACATCGTCAGGAATTGAGTGAAGTGAGAAATGAATCTAGGACAAACTCCTGAGGAGGAGCAGTGAGGGTGAGGAAAAGGAACAGGAACGTAAAGGCCGCTGGCAAAGAATGGCCACTGGCAGAGAGGGAGGAGGTTAGCCAAGATTGTGTGCTTTCAAGAAGCAGTAAGTATAGACAGTGTCAAATGTGGTTAGGAGATAAAAATAAAGACTGAGAAATGTCTATTGTCTTTAATAATGAAGAGGTTACTGGGGAGAGACTACGTCCCAGATGGGGTTGGGTTAGGTGGCAAAGCCAGATTGCAGAGGGTTGAGGAATTGATGGGATTAGAGAAAGAAACTTATTCTTTGGTAATGAAAGAGGGAGGAGAGAGGAAGGCTTTGGGTAGCTATAGAGGAAATATTTAGCATATGACAACTTAGAGTGTGTGTTGTGTCTCTTTTCTGAGTTGTAACTCCTTTAGAAAACTGTGTTTCTATATCTGCATTCTTGGGATATGATGCATCCTTCACAAGGTAACTACTCAGTAACATTTGTTATGATTTTGATTTATTTAACACCTCTTTTTCAAGATTTTTTATTAACATCATTTCCAAATTCTCTAAACATTAGATCTACATGAGCACTTAATTTTATCCAAGTTTAAAAGCATTATGGCATGGCATCATGGCAAGGGAATGGGCTTTGGAATCCATTGCAACTATAATTCGCATTGTGTCTTTGGCACTTTAGCTATGTGACCTTGAACAAATTAGTTACTACTTTTGGCCTCTTTCCTCATCTGTGAAATGAGGATATAACACCTCCACTATTGTCAGGCTGTTGTAGGATTCAGTGTGAAAAGTTGTAAAGTTTTTTGTGTACAAATGTAAAGTGTTTGGATATGAGTTAGACACTTAGTAAATGCTTTCTTGAAAAACAGTAACTTCACATATTATACATGCCTGTATCAAAATAGCACATGTACCCCATAAATATACACACCTATTATGTACCCATAATAATTAAAAATAAAAAAAATTAAAAATAAACAAGTAGTGTATACGATCTGATGTTATAATTTGAAATAAGAGCATGCATACTCAGTTGAAATTTGAGTGAAAAATTCACCTTTGAATAAAAAAATGTTTCTTTTCTTGTTCTCTCCCCCAATCCAGGTCCTGAGGGAGTCTAACAAATTAGCAGAAATGGAAGAACCGCCCTTGCTTCCAGGAGAAAATATTAAAGACATGGGTCTGTAATGGTATTTTTTGTTTAATTTCCTTCTCCTTTCTGACTGTGCAGACTGTTCAGTACTCTCAGCATACAGAGAACAAACTGGCTGTCGGAGATGCCTCCTGTCTGGCAGCACCCATTACCTGCAGCCCCCTCAGCCTCTCAGTGCGTTCTACAAGTCAAGGCCTGCACCTGTTGGTAGTGTCTGTGTTTGGACTATTGGGAAACAGGCAAACTGCTTATTCTCTCCTAAAAACCTTCTAAAAAAGTTTGTTTTACTTTCTTTGAAAGTAGGTGGCTTTTTTTTAACTGTTGTTGAATTCTGACTAGGGAAATTTTATTATTTTCAATTTTTATATTCATATACTGAATTGCCTAGATAAAAACATTGAATTGTCACTTTATACAAATAGTTTTTTTAAAACATCTTCTCTATTGTTTGCCTCCTTTATGTTTTTCTTCTGTGAATAAACTCGGGTCAATTTTGAAGTGAAATTTTTCAACCCAGTTGCATCTATTTGTATGTAGATGCCTTTCTCTGTCCAGCCTAATTAACTTAAAATATGGACTGGACACTGAAAATGAGCATATACTGTGTGTGTCTCCTTATGCTTTTGCTTTGTTTCATCTGTGTAATAATTAGCAAATACTCAGATTTTGAGAAGTAAAGTAACATGTTAGGAGAATGAAGTAAATGATTTCTTAAAGTAGATACCATCTTTCATATTATTATCAAACATAATTTTTTTAAAGAATTTAAAAATGCTTACTTTTTCTTGGCTAGGTGTTTTTCCTTGTGTGAAAATAAACAAGCTAAAGGGGGATCTACCCTCTAAATGGATTATTATTACCTACTAAATTTAGCTTCTTAGCACTTAGCATGGTATTTGTCTCTTCTTGCTCTTGACTCTTGATTGAATAACTTGCCAGTCTTTTTTTTTTTTCCACTTAGCCTTTTGTATACATACACTAAGCTCTTGATCTGCTGAACTATTTACTGAGTTAGATATATATTTTCAGTATTGGCTATTATGTAATGTTAATAGTTATCATTATAGGGTACTTAAACTGTCTCAGTCATTCTCAGAGTAATATTCTGAGAAAGATATTAGCCCCATTTTGTAGATAAGGAAACTAAGGCATAGGGAGATAACATGGCTAATAAAGTTATATCTAGCATTGTGACAGTTTCTTTTTTCCTATTCTGAACCTAATGCCTATGCTGCTTCCACTATGATATATGGCCTTATTAAAGACTTTTGGGATACCACTGAGTCTCATTTTTTGGTTCCTCTTCCTTTAAAATCAACATTCCCTAAGACTTCACCCTTGACCTATTTCCCTTTTCTTTCCTATATATTTTTAGTTGATCATATCTAAATTTGTAACTTCACCTACCATGTATCAGCTGATGACTCCCAAGTTTATGTTTTTAGTCTAAACGTTTGTCCTAATACATGTAAACAAATGCCTGTGTCTTAGACATATGCCCTTGGATATTCCATAGGAACCTTATATCCAACATGTCCAAAACTGAAATCATCATCTTTAACTCCAAACTTACTCTTTTTCTTGCATTCTCTCTCTCAGTTGACATCAATACCAGCTGTCCATATTCTCAAATTAGAAATCTGGTTGTCATCTTAGACTGCTCCTTTTTTTGAACTCTTAACATCCCATCAGTTACCAGATCCAGATCTGAAGGAGTCAGTCTCTAAGAATTTCACAAATTTATCTTCTTTTCTTTGTTCATGAGCACTAGGTATAATATTTCTGTATATTAAGTGAGATCTAGGCTTGAGGTCTGTGTTTGAGAATAATCAGCACATGGATATTAGTGGAAAATAGGATGGGGGTGGGAAATAACTAAGAGAGTGTATGGAGTGAGAAGAGTACCAAGAACATAGCTTTGGTAAACACTAACATTTTATAATTATATGGGAAAAGAGGAACAAGGCAGGGAAATTGAAGATTGGAGAGAGCCAGACTATACACTTTGTTCATATCTTTGTTAGATTATGTACTTTATTTCCCCACTGTTGTATCTTGGATTAGGTTATTCTTTTGCATTAAGTACTTTGTCACCATCTCTACCCATATAAAGGATACCTGCCATTGGGGGACAATTCTGATGCCTATATTCCTCAAGCACTTCTCTGATCCTATGGTTAAATGTATTTTCCATTCTCTGTATTATTTAGAATACTTAGAATAATTAGACACATGTTTTTGTGTCTGTTTGGACAGATTGCATACTCACATGTATTACATTTATTTATATGTATTTATTATTTCTCCTTATAGATGTGTATTTTCAAAGTCATTTTGGCATACCTCACAGAAACTATTACGTATATTTCCTCTGTGATCTCAGTGAAAATTTGAGAGGGTTAGTAAATCTAAGATCTTTTTATAACACTAGGCAGTATTATTGCAACATTTAGAGAAATACCAAATACGATTTAAAATTTTTAAAATCATCTGTATACATGATGATTATTGTGTAAAAAGTTAAATTTAATCGAAAAAAAATCTAAAGTTAGAGTAAAATTTGCGTATACTCATTCATGTAAAAAAAGACCTTAGAGTTTTCAGTTGGCATAGTATAAATCTATGGTTTCGATTTTTTTTTTTTTTTTTAATGAAAGTGGTGTTAGGAACATCAACAGAATGCCTTAGGAAAGTAACAGTCTCAAAGTATCATGGCCTGGCCACATTGCGAGTAGAGGTACCCCCAGACTGCAGTGATTCAACTTTTAACATAGGAGAAAGATGTTAAAAGGACTGTGCTGTGTTAGTGGCTTATCTTTGTCATGGGAGAGGAGGAAGCATGATGTGGTAGAGTCTTAGTCAGGGGAATTGGTTTCAAGTCTTAATCGTAGCAGTTACTGTTTCTGAAACATTCAGCAATTTATTTCACTTTTCTGAGCTCTGATATTCTCATCTAAAAATTGTAGATAATTATATTTCTATATTTAAGTGTTTTTAAGGTTAAATAAGGTACTCAGGTGAAAAGTAATTTAAAATTCTGAAGTGCTACATCACTAATGCTAGTTGTTGTTATTGTCATTTATTCTGGTAAGGTTCCTAGTCACTCACAGTCTCCCTTCTACTTGCTATAAACCTTCTGATCATAACTTTTCTCTTTAGAGTGACTTAACCTGAGAAGAGATGAGAGAGGGAACAGAACAAAGAGTAATGATAATAATAGTAACACAGGTATAAACCCTTATATTTGTATAGTACTTTCAATTTTAGAAGCACTTTTATATATATTATGATTTTAGAATAAAAGGGAAGGTATAACAAAGGAAGCTTTGGACCAAGGGTGACATATCCTATAGTGGGATATAGAAGAATAAGGCTGGTTTTTCTTGCATGAGTAAGAAAACTGGCTCTGGAAAGAATCCAGAACTCTGTTTAGTAACATTGAATAAAGTTAAAGTACAAATTCATAAGGGGAAAAAAATGTGTGCGAGGCAAGTTTGTGTATCTTTATGTAATGATGGGTTTATTTAATTTTAAAAGCTTCCCTCTAAATGAAACATGCATTAGAAACAATGATTTTAAAAATGTAGCTCATACTTGAACATTCCCAAGGGAAACATTTTGAAGGTTAGAAATGATTGTCAAAAAATCAGCCTCAAAGCAAATTCCATACAAAACAGTCAGTCCTTCAAAGTGATGACTAAGAAGCAAAGTCAGGAAATTGCAATATCTTATTAAACATATTTCATGGCCTTAAGTTTTCCCATAGGCCCCTTGAAAGGTTCTTAGAAAGTTGTTGCTCCATAGAACTGCAGCTCACTTCCTTGGAACAATGAAGATGTTCCTTTATTTGCTGATTTGCTGTGGTAATCACATAGCAGGAATTTATGAATATTTTAAGATATAAACCCTTGTATTGGGAATCATGAACTCTGCCATTTTAAATAATATTTTGAGCTAGTGATTGCTGAGTTGTCCTGCTTAATCAATTAATATACATATATATTTTATAAACCAAATGTCATATAGATTCATTTATCATTTAATAAAACATTACTTGGAATTATTTCCTTACAAAGTTGGACATACGTTGCTTGGTCAGGAATATAATATTCTCTTGTAGTATTATTTTTCTAAGAAATTATATTTCCTATACATTTCATTTCAACTCCAATATTTTCCCCAGGAATGTAATCAGATCAGGAGTGTCTGGTGTTACATGTTTTGGGTATTGCATTTTTAGAAGAATGTTGACAAACTAGACTGTGGCCAGGGAAAATCAAGAGATTGGTGAGGCCATCTGGAAACTGTGATGAGATAGATGAACAGTGACTGTGCCATGACACGTTTACTATGGTTACCACCATTGCCAGCACCTATCTACTTCAGTACTCCAACCACACCTATTTGATCCAACCAGGATAGTAGCCTTCTCTTTTACTTTCTGTTCTGTCTCAGGGAAGAGATGTCCCACCACATCTTCAGTCCTTCTCATTTAATTCTACATTCCTTCCCCAGATTAGCTCAGGGTTGGAAGCTTGGATTAGGGTTTGGAGATCTTTTGGAATCTTGGATTCTGTGATTTTTGAGTATAAACTAGAATAAGTAATTAGAATAAGTTCATAAGATGAGAAAGCAGTTTTTAATAGCCCACAAAAAATAAACTGTGGACTTTTTGCCTTTTCAGCCAAAGATGTAACTTACATATGTCCATTCACTGGTGCTGTACGAGGAACTCTGACTGTCACAAATTATAGATTATATTTCAAAAGCATGGAACGGGTAAGACTTGGATTGAATTTTTGTATGTACATGTGTGTGTTGTTTGCAGCCAGCTTTGTTCATTTTTAATCATTTTTAAAGAATTAAGAGAAATTAGATCAGCTATAATTGTATAGTATCAATTGCTCAGTTTTGATTGTTTTTTGTTTCCTTCCTTTAGGACCCCCCATTTGTTTTAGATGCTTCTCTTGGTGTGATAAGTAGAGTAGAAAAAATTGGTGGTGCTTCTAGTCGAGGTGAAAATTCTTATGGACTAGAAACTGTGTGCAAGGTAAATATTTTAATAGGTATTTGATTTTCTTTGGTTTGTAAGGCCTTGTGTTAAACAGAGCTCATGTTTAGAAACTTGTTTCCAAAATATCAAATGGATTTCATACTAGAAATGCTGTTCAAGTAGAAGAAAACAAAAGTTAGCAGTAATAGAAAAGGTGATTCATGAATTAGACTTAATTCTTTTGGGCCCAATTCAGTCTACATATTTTGATATGCTCACAAATTTATAGCAACTTATTTTTATAATGACCACCTTTAAGGTACATAGTATTTTATAGGATATAAATGACTTTCACATTCATTATTTCACTTTGAGCTTCATTTATGATTCTGTGAGGTAGGCACAAAAAACATTATTAACTTTAATTTACAAGTTAGAAATATTAGGTTTTGAGCAGTTAAGGCAAAGTACTTTGCTAATACATATATGTTCATGATCACCTATTTTTTTCTAGTTCTAGTTCTTATACTTTTTCTACTTTTGAAACAGTGAAGGGAAAAACTTGATATTATAGACTGTCTCTATTTTTTTTAATCTACTGTCATTCTTTAATTGAAACTTAGATTTTTACTATTAAGTCATAGGTATTTAATAACATGTACCACTTCTCCCAGGTCAGTGTTCTCATTATTATGGCCTAATTAACACCCATATGCCTCTCAATTCTAGATTACATTGCCCCTTTCTTTTGCTGTTCTGCACATGTATAATTCAAGATACTTTCCTATGCTAATTTTAGAAGTTTTGTGAATCTAGTATTACAGCTAATGACTTAGTAATTATTTTTATGTTTTTTCCATTATAGTCAGAAGGGCTCTGTGAGTGTAATCGCTGTCAATCATGGGCGAAGCAAATGTCTCCTAATTACTTTTCTGTAGTCTAATAGTAAATAGAACATAGAATATAAGAGATTGTGAAAGAGGATGATTTTGAAATCTTTATCATTTTAAATATAATTTTTCCATGGAACAAGACCATTATCAATAAACCCAAACATTTGTAGGGCCTCTTCTTTGGTACTTTCAGAGAGCTCTGTGGTTAACAGAGTGATTTTGAATATCTCTACTAGTTGTAAAGATATTTACTGAGGGAAAACAAGATAACAGCTTAGGTTCCTGCACATATTTGCTTTAAAAGAAGGTAAGGATATCATTCTAGTTTTGGATCAGATTTGAAATACATTGTTTTACTTATGTACCATACGCGCATCATAGTGCAGCGTCTTTTGAGTTCAGTTTTGTAGAACGAGATATAATAAAGCTATTTTGAATTCTGCCTAGGTTAAAACATGTAAATAAAATAGTCTTGAAATTATTTTTAATCCCTAATTTTTTTCTAAATGCTATTAGGATATCAGTAAACCAGAGCATGGATATTTGCATTCAGCCTGAGCATAGAAAACTACTTGAGAACAAATAATGGAAGGGAATCTTGGTCTGTAAACCTTACTGTAAAGCCTGGATGATATCAACCAAATTGTTCAAAGTCAGTGTGTTAGTAAATGATGGAAGTACATGGATGTGGAGTGAAGGAAGGCCTTTAGGCCGAGTTAAGTTCTATTCTAACAGCAGGGGACTTATGAAGAGAAGGTCCAATGGAAATGAGTCTTGGCAAGGGACAGTAAATAGAAAAATAATAACCAGACATAATTTAAATAAAGATACATATGAAATATAATAAAAGCTAAGCAGGTTTTATTAATAAGGAAATCCATGACAGAAAATAGGCTTTGACAGGGAAAGGACATATGCTAATAGTGTGTATCAGTCATGATATTAAGCTTAAGATGTAATATCTCTAATCTCCAGTGCTTACAACAAGTGCTACCTCTTTCACTGGCCTATCTTGAGTACTTAGGCATAGGTAAATTCTCTACCCTCTGAATTCTGCTTTTTGTTAGAGTGCCTTGTGCTTCTTTTTATTTCTCACAATAATTTTACAATATATATTACTATATATATATATATATATAGTTATAATTCTGTCTCCAGGAGCTATTGTCTGATTTATTTTTGTATCCCACATTCACAGATCTTAACATTTTACAAGATAGTTCCAAGTAACCTTATTTATTAATTAAATAAAAAGTGAACAAATAATTATTAACTTGCATCCTAAATCTTTTCTAGGATATTAGAAATTTACGTTTTGCTCATAAACCTGAGGGGCGGACGAGAAGATCCATATTTGAGAATCTAATGAAATATGCATTTCCTGTCTCTAATAACCTGGTAAAATGTTTCTTTTCTTTGGAAAATCCGTATTATAATCATTGATGTAGCATAAAGAAACTCATCTAGGCTATCTAGAGTCTCTTCATTTACATCCCTGCTTTGACATTTAACCAGATGAATAGTGTAGGTTTAATCTAATCTCTTGAACCAGTTTTTTCAGGTATGAATAAGGAAGCTGGATTAGCTGATTTCTGAGGTCCATTCCAGCACTTATAATCTTTAATTTTATGATCTGGCTTTCCATCCATCCTGTGATGAAAAGTATTATGTGGTGGTCTTCATTAGGATTTGAAATCTACTTTTTAATTGGGAGCTGACAGTTAAGAGTAGCAATTTGGGAAGGAAGGGTAGGAAAATACTGATTTGCTACTATGTGCTGTCACCAGTGTTAGGCTTCCTTATTTATATCATTTCACTTCCATAGTAATCCTATCATGGTAGGTATTATTTATCCCTGTTTTAGACATGAAATTATTGCCAGGTAAGCAGTTAATTCAAGGGCCCAGTTAGTAGGTAGTAGAATTTGGAATCAACACTGGTTTTCTGACTCCAGTTCAATTTTTTTTTTAATTATAGCTGTTTGTGCCATTACATCTATAAAAATGACAAAATAATTTTCTTCTTTTAGTAAGCAGATTGCATGCCAAAAAATGACAGCCTTATTCAGTGTGTTTTAGAAAATGTAGCATAAACTTCATTGCTGCTTAACTGCTGTATCTGTGATGTCAAACTAGTTAATTATATCAGAAGATATCTTTTTAAATGTACTCTTTCACTATTTAGAAGTAAACCTACAAAAGATACCAAAGATATCTGAAAGAAACATGATGATATGTTAGTATTTGATAAGTTTTGTTGGTAGGTGTCTGTCCTTTTCTGTATATTTGAAAAATATGTAAAATAACAATAAATTTCAAAATTATAAAATAAAAACAAAACAATATAAAAAGGGAAGCCAATACAAAGTATTCTTGCAGATAAGTAAATGAAAACTTGGGGTGTGGTAAAGATACATATCTCATTTCTTATTCATTACCTTCTTAAATGTCTTTTTAAGCTATTAACTTTGTTTACTTTTTTGTAGCCTCTTTTTGCTTTTGAATATAAAGAAGTATTCCCTGAAAATGGGTGGAAATTGTATGACCCTCTTTTAGAATACAGAAGGCAGGTATGTACTTCTTTTCTTTTAATTTTAGTATTTTAAATCCTTTTCATTACAAAGAAAACTTCATGGGTAGAAGTAAACAGGTTTAAATAAGATGATAAGTATATAAAAGTTTTAATGTTTTTATGTGCCATTTAACATTATTCACTCAGATTTTTCTTTTTTGGGTATTTTATAATTTATTTCTGAAGAAAATTTCTTAATAACTCTACTGCTTATAACTTAGCTCCACATAAAATTTTGAAAGTCTTATAGCTTCACAGAGGACAAACTATAGTTCCTATTATGATGGGCTACAGACAGCATTGATTTACTTTGGTTAGTAACCATAATGGGAATAACCCCTCTATATTTTGACATGAATTCATCACATCTTTTATATTATTTTATATGCAGATGAAAACTTAACTCCTATTAATTTCTTAAGAAATTCCTTACCCTACTTAGATTCATTTTAATTTGATATTTACTAATGCCTGCTTAGCCCTTTATTCTTTCTTTTTTCTGCTGAGGTCATGTGCTTTGTAATTCTTCATCAGTGCTACCGACTTTTTGGAACAAACATCTCTCATTTCTTTGGTATTTTTCATGCTCTAAGAGGGAAGGTGCTACATCTTTTTTGTCACTGTTTTATCCTTAGGATATATATGACAGGGTCCAGCACATAGTTGGTGATAAATATCTGTTGAATGAATGAGAATGCATGAGTGAAGCTTAGGAGAATATTTTGTTTATAGTATGTGTTCTATAAATATTTGTTGACTAACAAGTCTCCTGCATATATTGGTTTTATTTACTGAACTGTGTATATTATACCTATATATGCCAGACTTTTTCTTAAGTATTTCATAAATACTAATTCATTTGCTCTTCATAATCTGTGGCATAAGTACTAATACTGTATACATAGCATATGAGTAAAGTGAGGCACAGGAACATCGAGTAGTTTGCCCAAAGTTATAGCTACTAATAATGGGAATCAAGATTTGAATCCAGGAAGTCTGGCTCCAGAACCATGCTCTTCACTATTACACATAGACTTTTTTCCAATATCAAATCATTTTTAAAAAAATGAGTTTCTGATGCTGAGAGATTATAATACTTCTTGTACAGAAGATTATCCATAGGAGCTATAATAAAGATTCTAACTGTTATGGAGAAATATATTTGTATTAACCAAATAATTGGAAGAATATAATTTAAAAATTAACTGTAATTGTAACTAACGAAGACACTGTAAGTTAAGGAATAAAAATAAAAGCCTCGGTTTTCTTGGGTTGTAGTGTCTGATAATCAACCCACACATATTTTAAGATCAGGTCCCAAAGTGCTAGATCTTCAGGGTAAGAGTGAACTGGAATTAAATCAGATCTTCACTAAACATGAAGCCTAGATTTGTATAACTTGAATTTTCTGGTAAACTCAAGAAGAGGGAAAAGGGGGGTGCAGAAATTGTCTTGGAAGACATAAACTAGAAATATTCTGAAACTGATAAAAGATACCAATCTACAAATAGACAAGCTTAATTAATGTCAAGCAAGATTAGTGTAAAGAAGTTCACATCTAGATATACTGCAGGGGGACTATAGAACATCAAGAACAAAGAAAATCTTAAAAGCAGCTAGGAAAAATAGCAGATCATCTTTGAAGAAACAAAAATTAGACTGATGGCTTGTTTTTTAAAAGTAATAATGGAAGCCATAAGACATTAAGGCTTTTATTAATAATTTTATCTTCAGTGTGTTGAAATAAAACAACTGCCAGTTGAGAATGCTATGCCCAGTGAATATATCCTTCAGAAATGAAGGCAAAATAAAAAGATTTTTAGATCAACAAGACCAAAGAGTATTAACTACCACAGAAAATTCTAAAGGATATACATCAGGTGGAAGTCAAGTGACCCCAGATAGAAAATCAAAGATCAAAGAGTAAATGCAAAGTAGAGAGAATATTAAGTGTGTGGTAAATCTAAATGTCAACTATATAAAACAATATTTTCTGAGGTATATATAAAATGAAAATACATGGCTAAGAAGTTAGAAAAAGGGGTGGGGAGGATGGTGAGATGTTGATCAAAGGATACATAATTACAAATAGAAATAAATTTTAAGTGATCTATTGTATAGTTAATGATGAAATAGTATATTCTTAAAAAATGAAAGAGAGCCGATGTTATATGATTTTACCACAAAAATAACCATGTGAGGTAATGCGTTTATTAATTAGCTAGATTTAACCATTCCACAATGTATATGTGCTTCAAAACATCATGTTGTACATGATGAAAATGTTTTCTGTTAATGAAAAAAATAAGAAAGAAATTGGAAAAAGAATACTGAAGTAAACTAAAGAAAGAAGGAAATAATAAAGATAAGATAAATGTTTATTAAATAGAAAACCAATATATAATAAGAATCAACAGAGACAACAATAGTTTCCCTGAAAATATCAATAAAATTGTCAAGCCTCTGAGAGACTTAAGAAAATGAAGAGAGAATTCACAAGTAAGCAGTATTAGAAATGGAAAGGACATCCCTATAGAGTATAGACTCTGCAGATGTTAAGGATATAATATCAAGATCATATAAGCAACTTTGTCAGTAAATTTTAAAATTTTGGTGAAATGAATAATTACTTAGAAATACTTGCTTAAAGACTAATTCAGGAAGAAATGGTGAACCTGTATGATTCTATATTGATTACATAAATGGAATCTGTGATCAAAAATCTCACCCCAAAATACCCCATGCCTAGGTTTCAGGGACAAGTTCTACCAAATGCTTAAGGAAGAAAAATTCAAATCACATATAAATCTTTCAGAAAACAGTAAAAAAAACCCAAATAACATAAGAAGGTTGCCTTCCTTAGCTTATGAGTCTAGCATACCTTGAATTGAAAACCCTATAAAGATAATAAAAACGGAAAATGGGCCGGGCGCGGTGGCTCACGCCTGTAATCCTAGCACTCTGGGAGGCCAAGGCGGGCGGATTGCTCGAGGTCAGGAGTTCGAAACTAGCCTGAACAAGAGCAAGACCCCGTCTCTACTATAAATAGAAAGAAATTAATTGGCCAACTAATATATATAGAAAAAATTAGCCGGCATGGTGGCGCATGCCTGTAGTCCCAGCTACTTGGGAGGCTGAGGCAGTAGGATTGCTTAAGCCCAGGAGTTAGAGGTTGCTGTGAGCTAGGCTGATGCCACGGCACTCACTCTAGCTCGGGCAACAAAGCAAGACTCTGTCTCAAAAAAAAAAAAAAAGGAAAATGATAGACTAGTTTCACTACTAAACATATATGTAGAACTTCTATATAAAATGTTAACAAATCAAATCCAGTAGTATACAAAAGGGGTAATATAATGTGACCAAGGTGAGTTGGTCTAATATTATAAAACCTATTAATATAATTCATCACATTAAGAGATTAAGACAAAATTCAGTCTTGAAATCTGTGTTTTATTGTATCATTCTTTCTCAGTAAACTACTTCCGAAAGAGTCCCTGTACTGTAGTACTTAAACTCTACCTAAAAAGTCTTTTCTTTATTTTTAACTTCCCTTGTGTCCACTTGCTTTCTTGAGAATTTAAGTTGACATATGATTGATTTTCTCATAATTACTAGATTTGATATCCAGATTACTCTAAAATTCAAATGTGAAAATCCTTAAGCTGTGACTTTTGTGTTTAGATTTCAAACGTTGCATTCTAATTATAACACTTCTAATTTACTGAGTTTTTTTGTTTTAGAAAGCCAAGAAGAGTAAATAAAAAAGTACTGCTAAAGAGCTAAAGATATCTAAATGGTTTGAAGCTGAATTTGTTACTACAGTCATATGTGGCAAGTGAAATTTTAAATTCCTCATTCAGTTACATTGTACCATCAATTGGCAAAATAAATGGGAATCAACTAAAAATTAAGAGTATACAAGTAACATTATAAGATTTATGCTAACCTAAAAAATCTGGTGTCAGAATACGGTGATTAAGCAACTAGAAAATCTAACAAGTGTCTAGAAATTATAAAAATAGGATTATTCTTTAGGAATCTGGGTAGAAATTGCTGTCCATTCTAGCAGCATTTAACATGGAAATTTGGAAAGCAGTTGAAGTAATTATTTCCAAAGAAAAGTAATAAATTATTATGAAAAGGGAAAAAAAAAGTTGGAGGGTAAATGAATAACTGTACCTATACAGAAAGAGAATTATGAGATTAGGAAATGTGGCAGTAAAAACACAAAACTGAACTCTATATTAAATGATGTGGATGCCTTATGGTCTTTGACTGACTTAGATGAATTTGTTGTTTTTATATTTGTTTTTTTTTTCTTTTCTGCAGAGTTAGAAACTTTTGTCTCTGAGTCAACTAAGCTAAGGTTTAATGTAGAGAATAGTGTATTTGTAGTTAGAAGATTTAGTTTGTTCTTTTCTTGGATATATTTAAGTTTATTACAGAAGAAAATGAAGATGATCTCTTAAAATTTAAGACTAAAGAGAAAGCATCAGAGCATTACTTTTTTCCCCCTTTAAATAAAAAAAGGAAGTGCTAATACTTGTACTCTATATAAAATTTAAAAGATCCAAAAGGGTGTACTGAACTTTGTAGAACAACCCTGTCCCCAAGCCATTCCAGTTCCCTTCCCTTTGAGAAATAATATTACTGGTTTTAAATATACCCTCTCAAAGATATTATGCCTATAAAGATTGTGTTTGTATGTGTGTACATTTCTTTCTGAGCATATGATTACATACCGTGCACACTGTACTGCACCTTTCTTTTCTCATTTAATATATTTTGGAGAGCGTACTGTCTCAGAACATAGAGACCTACCTACTTTTTAAAATTGAGATATAACTCACATACCATGAAATTCATTGATTTAAAGTATATAGTCCACTGGTTTCTAGCATATTTACAAGGTTTTGCAGTTATTACCACCCTAATTCTAGGACATTTAGAAGACTTTGTTTTGAATTTTAGTTTTAGCTCTTCCTCTCACACTTAGGT